GTAAATGCCCGAATGGGATTGCTGGGTGATAATGGAGCACTATATGGAGTCTTCTGAGGAACCTCCATACTACTTTCCAGTGGTTGAACAAGTTTACACTCCCACCAACAATGCAGTAAAATTTCCTTCTGTCCACATCCTCTCCAGCATCTGTTGATGTTAGAGTTCTTGATTATAGCCATTTTAACTGGGGTGAGGTAGTATCTCAATGTTGTTTTGATTTGCATTTCTTTTATGGCTAGAACGGTTGAGCCTTTCTTCATGTGTCTATTGGCCATCTTTCTTTCCTCTTCAGAGAAATTTCTCTTTCAGTCTTTTGCCCACTTATTTATTGGGCAGTTGTTTCGTTGAGGATTTGTTGTTGGGGGATTTAATTTATGGGGTTCTGGGTATATTTTAGATATGAGACCTTTGTCCATTGTCTGGCTAGTGAAGATCTTCTCCCAATCTGCAGTCTTTCTATTGATCTTGCTTGCTGTGTCCTTTGCCATGCAGAAGCTGGGCAATTTCATGAAATCCCATTTGTCCAACCTTTCTTTGATTTATTGTGTTTCTGGGTCTCTATTAAGAAAATTTCGGCCTGTGCCAAGGAGACCTAGGTTTTCTCCTAATCCATCCTGTAATGTTTTCAGAGTGTCTTCTTTGACTACGAGGTCTTTGATACATTTGGAGTTGATTCTGGTGCAGGGTGACATAGAAGGATCTACCTTTAGTTTTCTACAAGTGATTAACCAATTTTGCCAGCAATTACTGAAGAGTCTGCCTTTCTTCCATTCTATTTGTTTAACTCCCTTATCGAAAATTAGATGACTATAGGTCTGTAGGTTCATTTCTTGGTTTTCAATTCTATTCCATTGGTCCTGAGGTCTGTTCTTGTGCCAGTACCAAGCTGTTTTGATTACTATGGCTTTGTAGTAGAGTTTGAAATTTGGTATTGATGTTCCTCCAGCACTGTTCTTTCTGTTGAGGATCATTTTTTGCTATTCAGGGACTTTTATTGTTCCATATGAATTTTTGGACTGCCTCTTCTATTTCCTTGAAGAATGAGGTTGGAATATTGACATGTATCACCCTGAATTTATAGATAGCCTTGAGAAGTATTGCCATTTTCACTATATTGATCCTTCCAGTCCAGCATGGGAGGTTTTTGCACTTTCTAAGTTCTGTTTTGACTTCCTTTTTCAAGTTTTTAAAGTTTTCATCATAGAGGTCCTTCACTTCTTTGGTTAATTCCTAGGTATTTTATTTTTTGTGGGGCTATTTCAAATGGAGTTGCTTTCCTGATTTCAGCATGTTTTTCGCATTGTTGGCATATCAAAAAGCCATTGATTTTTGAGGGTTAATTTTAAACCCTGATACTTTGCCAAAGTTTTGAATCAGCTTGAGTAATTTGGGAGTGGAGTCCATGAGATTCTTTAAATACAAGATCCTGTCATCTGCAAAGAGGAAGAGTTTTACTTCATCTTTCCTAATTTGGATCACTTTTATGTCTGCATCTTGTCTTATTGCTGTAGATAGGCATTCTTATACTAAATGGAAGAGATGTGGAGAGGGTGGACATCCTTGTCTTCTTCCTGAGTTAAGAGGAAATGGCTTTTGCTTTTCACCAGTAAGTATAATGTTTGCTGCAGGTTTGTCATATACAGTCTTTGTTGCATTGAGGAATGTTCCCTAGATTACTAGTTTTTCCAGAGCCTTCATCATACACAGGTGTTGGACCCTGTCAAATGCTTTTTCTGCATCTATTGAGATAACCATGTGGTTCTTATCCTTGCTCTTGTTGGTTTGACGAATTATATGAATAGATTTGTGTATAGTGAGCTAGCTTTGCACATCTAAAATGAATCCGGTTTGATAGTGGTGTATGATTTTTTTGGATGAATTGTTGAAGCCAATTGGCCAAAATTGTGTTGAGAAGTTTTGCATCAATGTTTCTCAGATCCTCTGGCAACAAAAGGGAATCCTGATTTAAGGGGCAAGAATGAGGAAAAAGACACAAGACAAAAGATGGGGTCGGAGGTCTGCAGCTCAAGACTGCAGCACCGTTTATTTTTAACTTTCCCTAATATGTACTGTTAGAAGTCAAGGAGTAGCATAATATTACTATAGTCCAGAAAAACAAGGAATGTTTAGGTTTACTTAAAACAGAGTGCAATAAAAACAAGACAAGATCAACTGGTTAAATGTAAAACAGACTCTGAAGGCATAGCAAAACAATTCCGGGCACCTGGTGTTTTTCAAGTAAGCCAGTTTTTTGTACATGCCTTCAAGCAAACACAAGGGTCAAGATGACCTTTACTGTTGAGCTTTACCATCGGCTCCCAACAAATGTCCATCAAAGAAATGGGTCTATAGTTCTCTTTCTTTGATGAGTTCCTGCCTGGTTTTGGGATGAGGGATATTATGCTCTCTGGGGCCTCTTGGTTCTTCACAGGCCTTGCTCCAGGCCTCTTGGCCCTCCATGGTCCTCTCTTCCTGGGCCTCTCTACTTGCCTGTGTTGGTCTGCTGTTCTCCTCCTCAGGCTGGCCCAGGCCTCCTCAGGTGTGAGGCTAAGGGAGGCACCTTTCTCTCCCACATCCCTTGGATGTCTTCCTTCTCTCTCTATCCCTGCCGAAGAACTCCCTGACCCCCTATATCCAGTGGCTCACCTCCTAGGGGGCACTTTGATTGCATGGCCTCAATGGTCTGGAAGCTGGACAATGATGTCTGAATGGGTGGGACTTCTACTCCATGAGTTCTCACAGCTCATTGAAGAAGTCAGCCTCACAGACTTTTCTGCCTAGGCTGGCTTCAAAGTGCAGCCTCAGATCTCAGCCTCCTGAGCTGCTGGGATCACATGCCTGAGAAAAAGACACCCTATTTTTATTTTTAACATAATGTTTTACTAAAGAGAGAAATTGCTTGTTGCATATGAAAGAAAAAAGTCCATAAAATTCACCAAATAGATGTTCCCTGTTCCTCTACTTACTTCTAATGAGACCGTCTTCAAAAGATTCCCCATATTCCTAGGACTTCCCTTGCCATGGGTCACATCTGTTGGAAATGGTCATGGAAGTTCAGTGGTACTCATCAGTACCTACAATTCTCCAGTGTGTGTTATAGGGAACATCTGCTCCCCACGCACACAGTGTCACCACACTTTCAGGTGACATGATGAGCATGCCCACAGAGGAGCTGAGACCATGCAGTCCTGAGCCTTTATCTTGGGGCTCTGTGGCTGAGCACACATGCTGTGACCACTGCCTCTGCTTCTCTGTCCTGACAGCCAGTTCCTACTGGGTAAGCAGCTATTCTTCTCAGGCAAGTGACAGTAGTAAATGGAACTCATCAAGAAATTGCAGAAGTAAATTCTCTGTAAAATGTGTGTGCTGCGTGGGGTTGGAATGAGGCACATTCATGTATTTTAGGAGAAATGTTTGGTGAGAGTCACAGGCCTGTCTCCTGCCTCAGCAATTTTGGTGCAGCTCCACATACCTTTGCATCTTGGAGACCACACAGCTTTGTGTGCTCAGGGGTACAACATTCTCTGCTGAAATGATATAACACAACCATGTACATATTTTTTAATTTTTGCCAGTCATGGGGCTTGAACTGAGGGCCTAGGCAGTATTCTTGAGCTTGCTTTTGGCCAATGATAGTGCTCTATCATTTCAGCCACAGTGCCTCTTCTGACCGTTTCTCAGTAGTGTATTGGAGATAAGAGTCTCTGGGATATATTCTGGCCAAGCTGACTTCTAACTGCAATTCTCAGGTCTCAGCCTCCAAGTGGCTAGGATTGTAGGCATCTACCACCAGCATCTGGCTTCCTTAGATTTCTTAATTATTTGAAATTGCTAGAGTAAATTCAGATTATACTTGTTTGTTGACACACTAACTAGGTGTTTCTTTTATACACTTTAGTTTGTGCACTACTTGTGTTTCTTTCTCAGTCTACCATATGTCTCTGCTGCTATTTGATGCTGGTGTGAATGCATTAAGGCATTGTGCTTTTCACAGCCAAGTGTTGCTTTACAAATTTTTAACTGTTTTCATCTGCTTTATCATAAGAAATAATGTTGCTCAGGACTGTAACTCCAGCTATTCAGGAGGATAAATTCTGAGGATCCAAATTCAAAGCCAGCCCAGCAGAAAATCCATGAAGGTATTATCACTAATTCATCATCAAAAAGCCAGAATTGGCTGTGGCTCAAAGTGGAAGAGCATTAGCCTTGAGCAAAACAAGTTCAAAAAAAGCAGTAAGGTCCTGCTACTGACAAAAATAGGAAAAGAAAAAAGAAATAATATTCCTTATAAACAAAATGCTGGTTAATGCCTCACCATTCTGTCAAGTATCGGTGTATATCACTAATCATGCAATTAATTAAAATAATATTTCCTAGAATTCTTTTATCCTTTTGATTATAGGTTAAAATCAGGGCTTAGGCTTGAGCCACAGAGTCTGATTGGGACATTTTTTCCTGGACTGGCTTCAAGCTACGATCCTTATGAATCTGGCTTTGCTACCATGTTCATATTTGTTTATTTTTCATGCTATTTTTTGTGTCACAATAAAATCCATAATTTCAACAAAGGAAGAGGCAACAATGCTTGATAAGAAATGTACTCATTATTTTGCCCATGTAATTATAACCTCTCTGTATAGTATTTTCACAATAAAACAAACAAACAAACAAAAACAAACAAATAAATAAATAAAACTGGACCCGGCACTGGTGGCTTAAGCCTGTAATCCTAGCTACTCAGGTGGCTGAGTTCTGAGAATCACGGTTCAAATCCAGCATGGGCAGAAAACTCTGTGAGACTCTCATCTCAAATAAACCACCAGAAAAAGCAGAAGTGGTGCGGTATCTCAAGTGGTAGAGTGTACAACTTGAGCTGAAGAGCTGAAGGACAGTGCTCAGGCTCAGAGTTTAAGCCCCATGACCGACAATAAACAAACAAACAAACAAACACACAATAAATAAATAAATAAATCCATGATTTTCTAGATATGAAAAAGATGACCGAAGCCAACGTTCACATGTGGGTTGCCTTCCTCACTCAGACTACAGCAGGGGTGCTGGGGAACTCCAGTCTCTTTTGTTTTTACAACTACACCCTCCTCACTGGACAGAAGATGAGGCTCACAGACTTCATCCTCAGCCATCTGGTCTTTGCCAACAACTTGGTTATTTTATCCTCTGGGATCCCTCAGACAATGGCAGGATTTGGATGGAAGTACTTCCTGGATGATGGTGGATGTAAAGTTCTTTTGTATTTCCACAGAGTATCCAGAGGGGTTTGTCTTAATGCTACCTGCCTTCTGAGTGGCTTCCAGGTCTCAAAGCTTTGCACTAGAAATGCTTGGTGGAAGATCACCTCTAGATTCCCCAAGGGCTGTGGATTCTGTGGTTGCCTTTTCTGGATCCTGCAGCTCCTGGTCAATGTTTATGTGCCTTTGAGAGTGATTGGCCCAAGACACAAACAAAATGTTACTCTGCACATGCGTTATAGATACTGCTCCACAGAAGCAGCCCCTACAAAACCATTTGTACGTTTGTCACAGATGATCTTACTTACTTCCATTGATGTTATGTGCTTGGTTTTCATGACTTGGGCCAGTGCTTCCATGGTTCTTGTCCTGCACAGACACAAGCAGAGGGTCCATCACATTCACAGCCACATTGCCTCCCGAAGACCAGATCATGAGGCCAGGGCCACGGGGACCATCCTTACCTTGGTGTGCATGTTCGTCTCCTTCTACTGCCTCTCTGCCATTTTCACTCTTTATGTTGGTGTAAATACAAAACCAGACCTGTGGCTGGTGGACACGACTGTGTTCCTGGGTGCATGTTTCTCATTTCTGAGTCCCTTTGTGCTCATCAGCAGTGACACTCGCATCACTCAGGTGTTTCATTCCTACACTGAATAAAAGATTTTCATGATTCACTTAAACAAAGCCATTACATTCAATTTCCAGTTGGTTCATAGTTTTGTTTTTGCAGCAGTGCATTTACACACTGTATTCTGCACTGTTAGGATATAGGCTCTACTACTAGACACCTGCTTTAGTCTTTTTTACTCTGGTTATTTATTTATTTTGGTTGGTCCTTGTTCCTGAACTCTGGGATTGGGTGCTGTCCCTCAGCTCATCAGCTCAAGACTATTGCTCTACAACTTGCATCACAGCACCACTTCCAGCATTTTCTCATAATGTGGTGCCTAATAATCCAACCCAGGACCTCATGTATGCCAGGCAAGCACTTTACCACTCACCCACCTTCCCAGCTCACTCTGGTTACTTTTGTAAGCTATACCCTTGATTTTTAGCCAGGTCAACCTGCAATTTCATACTCATTTTTTGTGTTTCCTGATGTACCTGGAATGGGAGATATGAATGTAGATGCTGAGGTTTGGTTGTTTAGATAGAGTCTTAGGGAATCATTTTTACCCAGGCTGACCTATCACTGTAAACGTCCCAATCTCAGCCTCACACATGGCTGGGAGGTCTAGTGTACACCACCACACCCAGCTAGTATTGGAGGAGGCATCTTGTGAACTGTTTTCCTGGGCTGGCCTTGGATCTGAATCCTCCTATTTCAATCTTGCATGAGTGAGCCACTGCATCCACCTTTGATCAATCTTTGAGTTAAATAATAGACCAATAATAATAATTATTATTATTACTATTATTATTAGTTCTGGGGCTTGAACTCAGGACTTAGGCAATGTCACAGAGCTCTTTTGCTCAAGGCTAACCCTCTACCATTTTGACCCACAATGCCACTTCAGGCCTTTTCTGAGTAGTTTATTGGAGAAAGGAGTGTCATGGACTTTCCTGCCAGGCTGGCTTCCAATTGCAATCCTCAGATCTCAACCTCCTGAGTAGCTGGGATTACAGGTGTGAGCCACCAGCACCTGGCATATATTTTATCTTTAAAATTATTAAATGAGTATATAATAGAAGGTATTCTGTAAGAATCTGTGTTAAACCGACTTAAAGAAGACTTTGAGAGTATCTCACTGGTGAAGTTCCTGCCTACCTAAAACCCAAATTTGTTGCCTGAAACTCAAATAAAACATAGTAATAGAAAATTTCAATGTAGTTAATATGGCCTACTTATCTTTTATTGTTAGTTCACTAAACAAATATTGCATAAGGTACAATTGCTAAGTTTCAGTAACTGAGATGCCAAAAGATGAATGTTTTCACCCTATTATGCAGGTATTACACTTCATTTTTCAACATTACCTCATGAATTAGGCTGAGTAAATGTAATGAGTAGGAGTACTAAACTTGGAAATAAAGTTCAATATTTAGCACAAAACAAAGTGTTATTACTGGTTGGTTTTTCACATTGGTACATGAAAACATATTACATTCAAACACATTTAGATCCAGCATCTTCTGGGAAAGAAGAGTCATCTAGAAAGGTCTCTCCTGTGGATCACGATTATGTCAGAGATCTGAAGATATCTGCCATGTTTGACCTGCACCAGGAGAGATGGTATAAGGTCAAGCAGTAAACCTGTGTCACTGCTGACCAGCCCAGAATTCCATCCTTGTCCTAAAAGTATGTTAGACTCACTGTAAGGCCTAACCTCATGCACAATATCAATAGTCCTCCTAAAGTTGATTTGGTCAATGCTCAAGTAAAATGTATATTGCATTTGACAGTTTCCCAAATTTTACTTTTATTAAAATACTATCATCTGTTAATAGAATATATTTCATTGTGGTGATTCAAATATAGTTGAAAAATTGTGTGTGATAGTGTGTGTGTAAGTATCTGATGGATTGTCTGTGTTGGGAGGCTTTATATTACAGACCCAATCTCTTTTTTAGTTATTCTGATTTCCTGCTATTTCCTGATTTAATTTTTCTTTTCTTGTGCCTTTTTTTTCTGGTCTTGGGGTTTGAACTTAGGTCCTGGCTGCTGTCCCTGAGCTCTGCTTGATCAAGGCTAGTGCTCTACCATTTGAACCATAGCACCACTTGTGGTCTTTTCTGAGTACTTTGTTGGAGATAAGAATCTCATGAATTTCTTCTCCTGGCTGCCTTCCAACAGCGATCCTCAGATCTCAGCCAACTCAGTAGCTAGGATTATAGGCGTTAGCCAAGAGTGTCTGATTCCTTGAGTCAATTTTGACAGGAGTAGTGTTCCTAGATACTTTAAGATTCCTAATTATTTGTAATGATTAGAATCCATTTTGTGTGTGTGGGCACGAGTGCATACGCACAAGTGCGCATGTGCACAGTCCTACAGGCATGTGCATCTGCCTGTCTGTATTTCTCTCTTTTTCTTTTGCTTCAGGTACAAATACTTGAATTCAGGGCCTGTGATGGTTTAAATTGCTTACTCTGCTGGTCCTCTACCACTTTAGCCATGACTCCAGCCCAGGATTTTTATGTTGTTTTAATTCAGAGTCTGTGTTGTGCCACTCCAGAGATTTGAACTCATGGCCTGGGTGCTGCCCCTGAGCTTTTGTGCTCAAGGCTAGCTCTTTATCATTTGAGCTTCAGCTTTACAAACAGCTTTTATGTGGTTATTTTGAAATAAGACTCTCACAGGTTTTTCTGCCTGGTCTGGCTTCAAACACTGATCCTAAGACCTCAGTCTCCTGAGCAGCTAAGATGACAGACATGAGCCACCTGTGCCCAGCTTGTAGGCTATTTTGGAGATGGAGTCTTGTGGAATTTTGTTCTTGTTCTGATTGTATCCTCTGATTCTCCTAATCAGCCTCTTGAAGAGCTAGGACCATAGGCCTGAGCCACCTTTCCTGGTTCTGTTTTGCATTTCCACAGGTGAAGAAGTATGTGTGCACTTCCATTGGAATTTTCTGGTTTTTCCTTTGTGAATCTAAAGTTTTGTGCAATTCTTTGGTCTTTTCAAACACCCAACATTTGGTTTCACTAACTTTTCATTCTTTTATTTTTTTTTTTTTGTGTCGTTGGTGGGGCTTGACCTCTAGTCCTGGGCATTCATTATCCCTGAACTCTTCAGCCCAAGGCCAGCACTTTACCAACTGAGCCCCAGTGCTACTTCCTGTTTTCTGGTGGTTTTTTGGAGATAAGAGTCTCATGGACATCCTGCCTGGGCTAGCCATGAACTGCAATCCTCAGGCAGCCTCTTGAGTAGCCCGGATTACAGACATGAGCGACCACTGCCCAGTTCAAACTTTTCTATTGCTCTTTGTATAGCTTGCATTCATAGTTGTGCTCTTCTTCTTTCCTTTCATATTGTGTTTACCTTGCTATTATTTTCATAATATGTAAGGAATGATATCAGGTGGAGACTTTTGTGTCTTTCCCTTTTGTAAGGTTAGGATCGAAGTTTCCCTCTCCACACACACCTGGTTTCTATTTTCATATATAGATGCGCTTAAGATTTAGGCAATATGGTCATTCTGCTTTCAGAGGAAGAGTGGCATTCAGGTTTTCTATATTTGTTATCTCTGAAGGTCAAAATGGCTGCAATAAGTGACCATGTGGAAAATTTATGAAGATCAGGTAGAAATATTAAAAGTCTGTTGTAGAACATATCTCAGAGCTTTGATAATTTAAGCACCCTTAACCATCACAGAGTACATGATACTTCCACTTGGGATATTGTCTTTTTTTCCCACAAGCCTGTCCTGAAACTTGAACTCAGCCCATGGGGCACTGGTCCTGTGTCCCTTTGTGCTCATGGTTAGTGTTCAACCACTTGAGACACAGTGTACTTACAGATTTGACTGAGTAGTTTTTGGTTTTGGTTTTGTCGGTCCTGTGTCCTGAACTCTGGGACAGGGCTCTTCACATCAAGGCTAGGACTCTACCACTTGAGCAAAGCTCAAATTCTGGTTTTCTAGTGGTTTATTGGAGATAATAGTTCCATGGACTTCCTTGCGTGGGCTGAATTTGAACGGTGATCCTCAGGTGTCAGCCTCCTGAGTAGCTAGAATTACAGGCATGAGCAACCAGCACCCAGCTTGACTGAGTAGGTGTTTAAAGATAAGAGTCTCAGACTATTTTTCTGAGAGGGCTTCAAATTGCAGTCCTCAGATCTCAGCTTCCTGAATAGCTAGGATTATAAGCATAATCCACAAGACCCCACCTATTTTATTTTTCAGTTTTTAATATAGTGGTTTTATTTTTTATTGTGAAAATACCATACAGAAGGGTTACAATTACATGGGCAAGGTAATGAGTACATTTTTTATCAAGCATTGTTCCCTCCTCCTTTGTTTCCCCTTCCCTAAAGAAAGAAAGCACATCTTGGAGACAAAAAGAAAAAAAACACCCTAAAATTCACCAAAGCCATGTGCTCAGTTTCACTCTTTTATACAGTAGACTTCCTGTTACTCTACTCACTTTTAATGAGATCATCTTCAAAAGTTTCCCCATATTCCCTGGACTTCCTTTGCCATGGGTTACATCTGTTGGAAATGGTCATGGTAGTTCAGTGGTGCTCATCAGTATCCACAATTCTCCTGTGTTTGTCACATAGAAGCTCTGTTCCCCACACACACATTGTCACCACACTTCCAGGGGACAAAATAAACACTTGCACAGAGGAGATAAGATCATGCAGGCCTGAGCCTTTTTTTGGGGGCTTTGTGCCTGAGCACACATGCTATGACCACTGCCTCTGCTTCCCTGTCCTGACAGCCAATTCCTACTGGGTAAGCAGCTATTCTCTCAGGTAAATGACAGTAGTTAATGGAACTCATCAAGAAAATGCAGAAGGAACTTCTCTGTAAAATGTGTGTGCAGTATGGGGTTAGAATGAGGAACATGTCTTGAACTTTAGGAAAAGTATTTATTGAGAGTCACAGGCCTCTCTTCTGCCTCAGTTAACAGTCTTTTTTTTCAGGGGGTGGGGTCCAGCGAGGGGCCTGAACTCTGGGCTTGGGTGCTGTCCCTCAGCTCTTCAGCTCAAGGCTAGTGCT